CCAGATGGCTGATATTTGTGAGTTACCACGTAGGTGGGGCGTTAGGGTAGCCTAGTGGTTAAAGCCGAACACCCCAGGTTCAAATCCCCACATGGGCACATGTGTGAAGCCCATTTCTGGTGTCCCCGCCGTGATATTGCTGGAATATTGCTAAAAGCGGCGTAAAACTAAACTCACCCACTCACCACGTAGGCACAGTATCGTCATGGAATATTTCATGATCAGTTTCCCCGATTTGTGGACGATATTTTTGGTTGAGGCACATTGTATTGTTAGTGCTTTAAAACATTCAACTTGTTCTCTGGAACTTACCTTTACTTACAACATTATTTCGCAAACCATCTGCCCTACCCATCCCAGTGAGAGCAGTGAAGATACAAGTTAGAATTGGTCTTCAGTAACCCATGCTTGTCGTAAGAGACGACTGACGGGATCGGGTGGTCAGGCTCACTGATTTGGTTGACACGTATAATCATGTCCCAGTTGAGTAGATTGATGCTCATGTTATTGATCACTGGAGTGTCTGGTCCAGGATCGATTATTTATAGACATTTACACTATCATGTAGCTGGAACATTGCTGAGTGCGACATTAAACAACAAACCAACTTCCCAGTGATCAATTCATATACTCATGGAAACGAATAAGGGAACACATGAAAGTACACATGTTCCCTTATTCATTTCAAGAATTTCACCCACAGTGAAATACATACCTTGTGAAGAAACGTGGAAAAGAATAAAGGAACACTTGTACTTTAATGTGTTCCCTTATTTGTTTCCATGAGTATATTAAACCTGACGTCAAAGACATACTAGTTTCTATATTTCAGTATATTCAAAGTTGTCCGATTTAGGCACACAAACACTCACATTCATAATATCTAATGATTTATAGTTTAAGAGATTAACGCTAAAGGAATTTAAAGATCCGTTTTGAATAAGTGTCTGGCAGTCCTATAAACGTGTCAATGTTTGAGGTAAAACCCGAAGACGAATTACCAGCTAATTTTGGAACAGATCATAACTTTATTTGATCCAATGGAAGGACCACCCACATCCAGTCGTTCCCCTTTTCCCTTGTTAGGGCTTTACAATTTGCAGTAATTTTCCGACAAATTGGGGCTCTTTCACATTTCAAATGGCGGCCATATTCGATTTTAGAGTGAAACGATATCTGTAAACTTGCAAAGCTTTTAAAAACGGTTTCATGTTTTTATAACAAAGATAGCAATTTCTGACCTAATGTCTGAACTGTACTGTTAACTATGTTTGGGGCTATATGTCACAGATCTGATAAAATGTAAATATCTGACAAATGAAACTATTTGTTACCGTGAATACTATCTTCCTGTCAACCCTCCTCGGGGCAATATATACATTCAACATAGCCTGCTGGCCTGTGTTGTGTGAGTAGCATGTGGAAACACTGAAGCAGGATCTTGTTTGTATACATATATGTATGCATCGTCACCTCGGCTTGTCCTAGCACACCGAGAGAAAAATCGACAAGTGTATCCTAGATTTCCTAGGTCACACTAGACATGTCTACCCTAGACCACCTAGATTATGCGAAACCTTCTTAAAAAGGCCACCAAGATCCCACTGCATAATTCTACCCTAGACCACATAAATCGCACGAGGCAATTTGACACAAAAACTCGTCTATTTGACCCACATTCCACGACCACCCCAAGCCAACAGCCCCTATCTCACCCCCATAAAAATCTATAAGTGAAAATATTCCAGGACGAGTACAACATAATGTCAGCTTACCTGGAAGGACAAGTTTGGTTTGAGACATTGCTTTTGTCATGACCACCTTAGACCGACCTATACTAACCTTCAACCACCCTTGACCGTCCCAGGCTATCCTTGATCACCCCCAGGATCATCCCAGACCACCCACAATCACCCTCGAGCATCCTGGACAAGTTCAATCTCATATCACGCTTGACCATCTAAGGCTATTCCAGCTTATCCAAGACCACCGACAAATCACCCTCGACCATCCTTGACCAGTTGTATCTCAGATTACCCTTGACCATCTAAGGCTATTCCAGGTTATCCAAGACCACCGACAAATTACCCTCGACCATCCTTGACCAGTTGACCCTCAGATCACCCTTGACCATCTAAGGCTATTCAAGCTAATCCTAGACCACCCACAATGACCGTCGACCATCCTTGACCAGTTGACCCTCAGATCACCCTTGACCATCTAAGGCTATTCCAGGCTATCCTAGACCACCCACAATGACCTTCGACCACCGTTGACCAGTTGACCCTCAGATCACCCTTGACCATCTAAGGCTATTCCAGGCTATCCTAGACCACCCACAATGACCGTCGACCATCCTTGACCAGTTGACCCTCAGATCACCCTTGACCATCTAAGGCTATTCCAGGCTATCCTAGACCACCCACAATGACCGTCGACCATCCTTGACCAGTTGACCCTCAGATTACCTTTGACTATTTCTGTATTCCTGCCATGAGCTGCGTACCGGACAAGGTTTAAATGTAAAATTAGATCTTCTATATAAGACCAGGCCGCCATTCCACAATGCAAAGCGATGTCAAAGCTTCGACTATCTTAAGCCAATGTTAAACGATCTCTTTGTGAAATGGCACATTCTACAAACTGCTTTGAAAGCTGGTAGGATGAACAGGACGCCCAAAGTAAAGTTACCCATGGCATACCAGGGCATACGCCTGATTCTATACAAAGTCGTGATGCCTGATTCATATGGCTCACACCTGTGATGAGATCAGGGGAGTTAGATTCAAGATGGTAAAAGCGTGCGCTCATCACCCTCCCTAAAAGACCCAGGTTCGATTCCTCACATGGGTACAATATGCGAAACCCATTTCTGGTGTTCAACGCCATGATATTGCTAGAATATTGCTAAAAGCGGCGTAAAACTAAACTCACTCACTAACGCATGGGAACTGGTATGCAACCAGGCATGGTGTATAGCCCTGAAATACGTAGATATTTGGGATAGTGTTGTACACGGACACTGATAACATCTGGGAACGTGATCAGTTCGAATCAAGGATTCAAACTCACAATCAGCAGATTCTGGCGTGCTAGTCTGTCATACAGACCCTGAAACAAATATATCCAAGAAAGGCCATGCAAGTCTAGAATATATGGCAAGTCTAGATTTCCACATTTGAAAATGAAAAAAGTATCTCGGCTCCTTTTCATTATATTTTTTATTATTATTTATGAACAGTTTGGTTTTTTTGTAACATGGTCATTTCGGAGATTAGGTATTTGTCTACTGGTGCGTGTAAGGTAGACAACTCTGCATGACGAATCAGACTTTGTAATTACTATAAGTAGATTATTTACTTTATTATCTGCCCAAAAGTTCCTTTCTTATTTCCAGCTCAATGTCTACATCTGCGACAACTACATCTGGGACTACGACATCTACAATGACAACGTCTACGACAACTACTGCTGCAAGTAGGACAACTAGTTGGACAACAAGTCCAACAGTACAACAAGCAGCACAGTTGGCAACACGTGGCAACAATTCTGGTACGTGGTCTCATGGGAAATATCCTACATGGATGAGGTAAACAAGTATTGCATGACGTGTCACGTGACGCAGTTGACTCTTTCTAGGAGTGTTGTATCCACGACCTAATCTTTTCTCACCCGGAATCCCTAAGGATAACAGCTCTGACGTCATCCAATTGTCCTATCATCTTCTGTATATCTCATAAAATCCCCAGTATGTGCCATATGGGATGTTCCAAATAGCGACCGAGCCAGTAAGACAGTTTTGTGGACAGGTGCCCTGGACATCAAGGTGACCGATGTGATCAATGAGTACTACTCATTATCTACATGTCCTGGTGTCTGGTTGTTGCTCTTCTTCTTCTGAATGTTCTTCCTCTTCTTCTTCCCCTTCTTCTTCTTCTCTTCTTCTTCTTCTTCCCCTTCTCCTTCTTCCCTTCTTCTTCCCTTCTTCTTCCTCTTCTTCTTCCCCTTCTTCTTCTTCCTCTTCTTCTTCCCTTCTTCTTTCTTCTTCTTCTTCTTCTTCTTCTTCCTTCTTCTTCTTCTTCCCTTCTTCTTCTTCCCTTCTTCTTCCTCTTCTTCTTCCTTCTTCTTCTTCTTCCTCTTCTTCTTCTTCTTCCCCTTCTTCCCCTTCTTCTCTTCTTCTTCTTCTTCTTCTTCTTCTTCTTCTTCTTCTTCTTCTGAATCTTCTGAATCTTCCTCTTCCTCTTCCATTCTTCTTCCTCTTCCCTTCTTCCTCTTCCCCTTCTTCTTCCTCTTCCTCTTCTTCCCCTTCTTCTTCCTTCTTCTTCTTCCTCTTCCTTCTTCTTCTTCCCTTCTTCTTCTTCTTCTTCCTCTTCTTCTTCTTCCTTCTTCTTCTTCTTCCTCTTCCTCTTCTTCTTCCCCTTCTTCTTCTTCCTCTTCTTCTTCTTCTTCCATTCTTTTTCCTCTTCTTCTTCCGCTTCTGCTTCTTCTGAATCTTCTTCTTCTTCCCCTTCTTCTTCTTCTTCCCCTTCTTCTTCTTCCTTCTTCTTCTTCTTCCCTTCTTCTTCTTCCCTTCTTCTTCTTCCATTCTTCTTCCTCCGCTTCTGCTTCTTCTGAATCTTCTTCTTCTTTCCCTTCTTCTTCTTCCTCTTCTTCTTCCTCTTCTTCTTCCTCTTCTGCTTCCCCTTCTTCTTCCTCTTCTTCTTCCGCTTCTTCTTCTGAATCTTCTTCTACTTCTCCTTCTCCTTCTTCTTCATAATCTTCAGAACCTTCTTCTTGTTGTTGTGCCCCCACATGGGCAAAATGTGTGAAGCCCATTTCTGGTGTCCCCAGCCGTGATATTGCTGGAATATTGCTAAAAGCGGCGTAAAACCAAACTCACTCACTCACTCTTCTTGTTGTTTTAGTAGTTTCTATTATTCATAAAAGTTTAAAGTTTGACAGATTTACTTTCCCTTGCAGCCTTACATGACGTATGCACCGACAGTTGTGTCGGTCGCGACATGGGCTACTATGGCTACTGCGGCGACTGCAAGAAGTACGTCATCTGCTACGAAAAAATGCAGTCGTTTACGTGTCCAGAGTACCTCGTCTACAACTATGTCACCGCCACCTGTGACTGGCCAAAGGATGTGCCGAAATGCGCGTGAGTAGTGAATCAACAATGACCACAAGATCATTGGGTCTGACGTCCAGCAGAAGCATCCTATGTTCTGGATCCTATCCCTACCCGGAACCACACGGAAGTCGAGCATATCGTATCTAGATTGGCCAAATATACTGACGTAAACAAAAAAGTAAACACCTGGTGCTTTAGGGAAATTATCCCAAAATAACGTAAATATCCTGAACGATGTACACCCATGCCACATCCTACCAAAGTGAGTGGGTGAGTTTAGTTTTACGCCGCACTCAGCAATATTCCAGCTATATGGCTGCGGTCTGTAAATAATCCGTCTGGACCAGACAATCCAGGGATCAACAGCATAAGCATCGATCTACGCAATGGGGATACGATGACATGTGTCAACAAAGTCAGCGAGCCTGACCACCCAATCCCGTTAGTCGCCTCTTACAACAAGCATGGGTTACTGAAGACCAATTCTAACCCGAACCTTCACGGGTGCATCCTACCAGGACCGCGTTTGTGTATGTTTGGCGTGTTGCGATGGCCCGCTGGTTTCAAAAGCTTTAGTTTCTGTGGAAATAACTCTTGCATTTTAAGTGCCAGGGTTTTCGATTTCCTTTTGTAGAATCATTCGAGTACAGCTTTAGTTCTCGAATGCCTTGTGACAAAATCCGGAATTTGAAATTCGAACCCCGGAAGCAAGGATATGCATGGCTATTGGCCACAAGGCCTCTGTGCCACCAATGCACCCAAGTTGAATCAAGGTATGGCCTTATGTTTAGATACCAGCGCATATCTATGCTGACTATATAGCTCTTTTGATACAATGCAGTGCACATTTGATTTCCTAGGATAACATTACAAGGACCTGTGGCAGCAGCAGTGATGTTGGCTTCTACATCGTCCAGAACATCATCTACAACATCTCTAGAGCCACCTCCCACTACATCTGTAACAACGTCTCCCACCACTTCATCTACGACTTCAGCTACAACTTCGCCGACGACCTCGATGACTACTTCAGCAACGACCTCTGCTACCACATCAGCAACGACTAGTCGTAAGTATCTACAATTACAGTTTGTATTTTCTTATTCGGGACTAAAACTTAAGTCAACATACCCCCGTGCATTGCTAGCAACAACAATGATAATAATTGTGATTACAAGAATTGTTCCTCTTCTTCAGCAACGACATCGTCAACTACCTCAGCAACAACGTCCCCAACAACCTCACCTACTACATCTGTAACAACTTCGGTAACGACGTCTCCGACAACTTCAGGAACGACGTCCAAAACAACATCAGCAACAACGTCTTCAACAACCTCAGCAACAACGTCCCCAACCACCTCGCCAACTACATCTCCTACAACTTCAATTACAACATCTCCAACGACAAGTCGTAAGTACATACTGTTTTCTGAAACAGATTCGACTATGTCCAGGCCGCCGCCATATACTAGTAGCTGGAGCATTGCTGATTGTGGCCTTATACACCAAAGAAACAAAACTAACAAAAGAATATTCTACATAGCTCGGCTTAGATGTTTGGACTTCCCTTGCTAAGTGTTACGTTTCTCTTTCAGCTACGACATCTCCCACTACATCAGTCACAACATCTGCAACCACGTCACCTACTACTTCTGCCACGACATCACCGACGACTTCACCTACAACGTCTAACAACCTTCTGCCTACGACATCACCGACGACTTAACACTTCTGCAACCACATCACCTAACGTCAATCAAACAACCTCTGCAACCACATCACCAACTACTACTTAACAACTTCTGCAACCACATCACCTACGACTTCACCTACAACGTCAATAACAACCTCTGCAACCACATCACCTACTACTTCTGCAACCACGTCACCTACGACTTCACCTACAACGTCAATAACAACTTCTGCAACCACATCACCCACGACTTCACCTACAACGTCAGTTACAACCTCTGCAACCACATCACCAACGACTTCACCTACAACGTCAGTAACAACGTCTGCAACCACATCACCCACGACTTCACCTACAACGTCAATTACAACTTCTGCAACCACATCACCTACGACTTCACCTACAACGTCAATTACAACCTCTGCAACCACATCACCCACGACTTCACCTACAACGTCAATAACAACCTCTGCAACCACGTCACCTACGACTTCACCAACAACATCAATAACAACGTCTGCAACCACATCACCCACGACTTCACCTACAACGTCAATTACAACCTCTGCAACCACATCACCCACGACTTCACCTACAACGTCAATGACAACTTCTGCAACTACGTCACCTACAACCTCTGCAACCACATCACCCACGACTTCACCTACAACGTCAATTACAACCTCTGCAGCCACATCACCCACGACTTCACCTACAACGTCAATAACAACCTCTGCAACCACGTCACCTACAACCTCTGCAACCACATCACCCACGACTTCACCTACAACGTCAATTACAACCTCTGCAACCACATCACCCACGACTTCACCTACAACGTCAATAACTACCTCGGCAACCACGTCACCTACGACTTCGCCTACAACATCAGTAATAACCTCTGCAACCACATCACCCACGACTTCACCTACAACGTCAATAACTACCTCGGCAACCACATCACCAACGACTTCACCTACAACGTCAATAACTACCTCGGCAACCACGTCACCAACGACTTCACCAACAACGTCAATAACAACGTCTGCAACCACGTCACCAACGACTTCACCTACAACGTCAATAACAACGTCTGCAACCACGTCACCTACGACTTCACCTACAACATCAATAACAACGTCTGCAACCACATCACCCACGACTTCACCTACAACGTCAATAACTACCTCGGCAACCACGTCACCAACGACTTCACCAACAACGTCAATAACAACGTCTGCAACCACGTCACCAACGACTTCACCTACAACGTCAATAACTACCTCTGCAACCACTTCAATAACAACTTCTCCTGCAACCACGTCACCTACGACTTCACCAACAACATCAATTACAACCTCTGCAACCACATCACCTACGACCTCACCCACAACGTCAGCAACAACATCATCAACTACGTCAGCAACGACTTCCCAAACAACATCGCCGACAACTTCGGCAACTACAACGGACCCCTTCAACTGCGTGTACTCCTGTCCCGCCTCAGGTCAAACACAGGTGTACGCGGTCTGCAACTCGGGATGCTTCATCTACTGTAACGGAGGATCCGAGATCAGTCGCAATTGTGCAAATTTCAATTTCCTGTCCTAGGAAAGCCTGTGTATGTTATTTGTTTACTGTAAACAACCACTTTAGTAACTAACCGGGACTTTTCGCCCAAACAGTCATTTTTCAGAAAGACGCTTGTGACTTTCAAACAAGGCTTACACATACGAAGGGCTATCAAAATGTACTGAACCTAACTATATTCTCGATCTACAATGTTAGAAAAGTTTCCATTTTATCTTGAAGAAATCTAGCAAAGCCTTACGCAAAATTTCACATATGTGGGTAATGTGGTTAACGAGATATTAGTCATCACAACACATTGGGATATAATGTGTAAAATAGTTGCAGAAAATGAAAACCGATATGACATTTGGTACCTCTTGGAAAATGGTATGCCCTCGGATAATATCATTTAAAATATTTCAGTATGGATTTGGGTGACTTCCCATCATAATCAACATTCAAAGATTTGGATTGTTTGATTTAGATTTAGACGGGGGCTGTTTTTTACGGACACCCCAATCTTAGTTTTTTCCAAAACATAGTGCCCAGATATTCTAGCTGGCCCTGTCTCCAAAACAAGTTCTTTCTGTAAACATGAAGTGGGGAGTCACTTTAACAAGCGGTTGTAGTTCAAATTGCCTTTTTATGAACTTTAATATCTAAGTTTGATTCTAGCGGACTTCTACCTATCTCAAACACACAAAATGTTTCTTGCACATTTTGTTTCCTGAAGTTTTTGATGCATATATTGCAGATTTTGCGCGTTTTTGGGGAGTGCCAAGACAAAATGTCAAACAAAATGGGGATCGTGAGGCTGGAACATAGCAAAACCAGTTTGCTTGAGGTTGACAGAAAACATGTAGAAAATTAAACATAAAAACAGTTGCATTTGTATCATTTTCTTGGTGAGGCTCACTACTTTTTGATAGCCCTCGTAAGCCGAGACCCGTCCTATTATTTTCAATGTACCCGGATAAGTCTTTTTGTCCCCGTGGGAATATTGCCGAACAGTTGACTGTACGTTTGTAAAATACCAGCCCTAGTTTCGTATCTCTGATGATGTAATACGACATTCTCCGGACATTTACGATATTTTCCGAATGAAATAGATCAAGGGGAATAACACAAAGTTTGTTTTCTGTCGTTTGTTACTTTTCGATGAATGTGAGAAATGAATGAAGCAAATAAATACCTGTGGTTTGTTTGTTTGTTTGTTTGTTGTTCAATATATTCCGCACTCAGCAATATTTCAGCTGTATCACGGCGGTATGTAAATAACAGAACCTTGACCAGACAATCCAGTGATCAGCATCATGAGCATCGACCTGCGCAATTGCGATACGATGACATGTGTCAACCAAGTCAGCGAGCCTGACCACCCGATCCCGTTAGTCGCCTCTTACGACAAGCATGGTTTGCTGAAGACCAATTCTAACCCGGGTCGTCACTGGTCCTGACTGCGGCGGTTTTACCCATTCGGATCAAGGCATGCATGTACAAGCTAAGTGAGGTGAATTAAATTCGTTCTTCCCGCCGGTGACCGGAGCCAGAACGTAAATTAGCATACAGTCTCCGTCAACACATCTCCACGTCCAGCCCGGTGGATAGTCTTGCTCCAAGGCTGTACTGAATACTGAGCCCTATGATGTATATTACAGGGCCGTAGTTAACGTTTATTAATAAGGGGGGGCACCATCCACGTTAAAACAGTGTTATATCAAGAGTTTGATGCACAAAAATTAATCTGTAAAAAGATTCTAGAGGGGCAGCTGAACACATGATAATGAGTGAGTTTAGTTTTACGCCGCTTTTAGCATTATTCCAACATCACGGAGGGGTAGGCTACATCAGAAATGGGCTTCACACATTGTACCCATATGGGGATTCGAACCAAGTTTTCGGGTGACGAGCGGACGCTAACAACTAGACTACCCCACTGCCCCTCATAATAAGTGAGTGAGTGAGTTGGGTTTTACGCCGCTTTACGCAATATTCAAGCAATATCACGGCGGGGGACACCTGAAATGGGCTTCACACTTTGTGCCCATGTGGAGAATCGAACCCGGGCCTTCGGCGTGAGGAGCGAACGCTTTAACCACTAGGCTACCCCGACGCCCGCCCCTGATAACGATGTTAATTATTTTTTTTAGCCTAATGGTTAAAGCGTTGGCTCGTCACGCCGAAGACCTGGGTTCGAATCCCCACATGGGTACAATGTGTGAAGCCCATTTCTGGTGTCCCCCCGCCGTGATGTTGCTGGAATATTGCTAAAAGCGGCGTAAAACCAAACTCAATCAGTCAGTCAGTCAGAGTGTTGGGACATATCACACCACATCCAGATAGATGTATATTTTATTTTGTAATGTCATTAACAATTTATGGAATTTAGCTCTCATATTTCAAAATAAAGGTCAAACGTCGGGACAGAGGGCAAACGAATACCAAGCTCGTTGTCTCATTAGCGAAATAGGAGCGTACAAAACAAAATCTACGAATTAACCAAAAGTTAGGACCACTATTAACGAATGTTCTGTCATCTCCGGTGTTATCGCTCAAAACACGCACGTAAGTCGGACAGTGCTCGTCGTAAGTATTTTTATGCTCTCAGCTTCCCACAGGGTGAAGGGGCGGTGGGCTTGCCTTGTGGTTAAAGTATTCGTTCGTCTCGCTGAAGACCCGGGTTCGATTCTCTACATGGTGCAATGTGTGAAGCCCATATCTGGTGTCCCCTGTTGTGATATCGCCGGAATATCGTTAAAAGCGCATAAAACTAAACTAAAAAACTCTGGTTCCTCGACAGACGTAGTGGATTTAGTCCATGTAACTGGTTCATGACATGTCCCGAAATGGTCATGTCACTGAGTTCCTGCTGATGCGTTGACCCAAGGCTGTTGATACTAATGACGTCACTGTGGGCATCCGGTTGTGCAGAGGTTGCGCTGGGAACGTTGTATATTATGGGAGCGATATCTGTCGTGTTTCGGCAACACGTTCACAATGTTTGTGACTTATAAGTCACAGTCAAAACACTTTTCAAAATGATTCCTTTGGTTTCTGGTAAATAATCCCAAAGCACCAAGTGTGTACTTTCTTTAATACCCCAGTCTATATATCCTCGGAGACAAGCTTAATAATAATAATAATAATAATCTACTTCTATAGCGCCGAGTTCCAGCTAGGCTGCTCACAGGCGCTTGTGCAAATCAGTCTATTTCATTTCAAATAGATGTGTCTTTAAATGTTTTCGAAAAGTTGGTAGACTTGGGGCGGATTTTAGCGACATAGGGAGGTTGTTCCATAGCATGGGAGCTGCACATTCAAAGCAGCGGTCCCCGTATTTGGTCCTGGATGGTCTGGTGATAAGCAGATCTTTATCTTGTGATCTAAGAGTTCTTGTTGGTCTATGGTTGTTTAGAAGAGATGACAAGTAAGATGGAGCAGTGTTGGTCTTCAGGCACTTGTAGATAATGGTAAGCACCTTGAATTTTATGCGTCTGGCAACGGGTAGCCAATGCAGTTCTCTTAACCTGGGGGTGATGTGGTCTCTTCGAGGACAACGAGTTATTATCCTGGCGGCTGTGTTTTGTATAACCTGGAGTCGATGAACCAGGGAAGCTGCTATCCCAAACAAAAGTGAATTGGCATAGTCATAGCTTGATATGACAGAAGCGAGATCCTCTTTGGAAGCCGGTTTTAGGTAATAAGATAGTCGTATCAAAATCAGTGAAAGTGCGATCTTTGAACTGTTGTAATCTACTTCCAGCCTAGTTCTATAGTGTCAACCACCCCGGAAACCTGGGTTCGATTCCCCACATGGGTACAATGTGTGAAGCCCATTTCTTGTGTCCCCCGCCGTAATATTGCTGGAATATTGTGTAAAGCGGCGTAAAACGATACTCACTCAGTATATAGTGTTTAACCATACCTACCTAGCGTTTGGCTTGAGACGCTAGGTAGACAAAACAAAACTGATAAATCTCACGCCAAACTGGGCTCATATGAAAAATAAAAATCACACAAATAGGTTTGAATACATCGTTTTCTGTGACTTTTCTGAGAAAGGAATTTGTAATTATGAACCCCCAGGTTCCACCTTGGACCCCGGCATCTCAAGCTTTTCTATCTCTTGGAGTTGGAGGCTCTGGTTAAACCGATATACTCTGTAATCAGGCATGTCATTAGTGCGAGATATTATAATATGTTTAAAACAACAGATTTGATATTTCGTTAGACCTAAATTGCCTCCATTACATACTGTTCATATCCCTCCAATAAGGATGAAAAGGGAATGGGATGTTTATTGGCCACCTGGCTTCGTATATTGGCTACCCAAATGTAGAACGCCAATATTAATATTGCTGTGTTTGGGTGCAAGAGTGAAGAGCTGAATGTTTAAACGCAATAAACTCCGAAGACTCGCCAATATTCGCGCGGCTGATGGCGTCCTCGGGCTGACGGCCTCGGACTCAACTAGCCGCGCGAATACTGACGAGTCTTCGGAGTTTATTTCTTATGTATAACATCAAATCTTGCTCGGAGCGTCTGTCTCGTTGAGTCTGCCCGAGTATTCCTTGTACAACGTTGGGGCAACCCCGAACGTAACGCAGGACGTTCACCGCTAGGTTGATTGATTGATTAACGCAACACTCAGCAATATTTCAGCTATATATAGTGAGAACCAGCATGAGCATCGATCTACTTAATTGGGATACGATGGCAAGTGTCAACCAAGTCAGTGGCCCTGACCACCCGATCCCGTTAGTCGTCTCTTACGACAAGCGTGGGTTGCTGAAGACCATTTCTAACCCGGATCTTCACGGGTCCTTCACTGCTAGAGGGGCCACGATCAGCAGTGTGGTACTTAAGTTAAAGAATCACAACAGGGTAAATCTGGAAGTTACATAAAATCGTACCCAGTCACTTACGTTACACGTTACAATATACATGTCATTGTATCCCTATTGCGTAGATCGATGCTCAAGATGTT